GGATAGGTATTTGTGGTGTTATGTATCATGTTGTATGGGGATAGGTATTTGTGGTGTTATGTATCATGTTGTATGGGGATAGGTATTTGTGGTGTTATGTATCATGTTGTATGGGGATAGGTATTTGTGGTGTTATGTATCATGTTGTATGGGGATAGGTATTTGTGGTGTTGTGTATCATGTTGTATGGGGATAGGTATTTGTGGTGTTATGTATCATGTTGTATGGGGATAGGTATTTGTGGTGTTATGTATCATGTTGTATGGGGATAGGTATTTGTGGTGTTATGTATCATGTCGTATGGGGATAGGTATTTGTGGTGTTATGTATCATGTCGTATGGGGATAGATATTTTCTCCATGGCTTGGGGTGGCGGCAATTTTATGAAATTCGGCTGTGAGTGAATTTTGGTGGGTGGCTTTATTGTAATATTTGACGGCGAGTTTAGAAATGCGGTCTTGTATAGTGTGTAGCGATATGTGTTTTTCAACGTAGCATGCGGGTGTGTAGTGAGGGAGTCAGTAAGCGAGACGTATTACTTTGTTTCGTAGTTTTTTGTAAAATCTGCTGTTGGTTATTATTCATGTTACATGTAATCATTGCGCCATAATCTAATAATGGTCTGATATATAAATGTACATGATTATTAGTGTTTATGGTAGTTTCTAAGAATTTTGCGGAATTAGTGAATGAGATCGGGTTATTGTAGAGGTTCAATTTAGTTAGTTTGACACGCTTGAGTCTTTTGTTTAATCTTCGGTAGAGTATGATTGCCTGGGTTTTAGTAGGATTAAGTATTATCCTCCATTTGTTGCACCACTGTGTGATTTTGTCAAGGGCTGTTTGAATTTTCTTTGCCGCTAGTGGAGGGTCCCACAGAGAGAAAGAGGCGTGTGACTCCGTCCCTTTTATGCTCATTCGAGAGACTTCTCGAATGTTATAGCATACTGAGCACGCGAGGGTTTCGTGATTCCCGGGTGGTGCAGGTGAGCGTGGGAATGAAGCAAAAGTGGTGCAATTCGCTACAATTATTTCTAGAATAATTAGTATATATGAACAATATATATAGAATTTTATACCAATACAATACAGTCAGTGTTTGGAGTTATCAAAAGTGTATGTTTTTACCCATTAAACTGTTGAAGTAAAGTTAATTTCGCAGCATAAATCTATTGTACTGAGGTGATTGCATGGTATTTCTTTCACATAGTGCTGATAAAATATTGATATATTACGATAAATCAAAATCTAGAGGTGATGGACAAATTCTCACTACATTTTTGAAATCAGCACCATCAAATCACCCCGAATTACTTGACTTTTCCTCAGTAGCAAAGTTTTTGTTGTCCAGTGTAATTTAATACAGCCAACTCAAAAGTTTGCACAGCTTTTAAAATCAAACAGTATAAATAGATAAAGAGATTGACGAGTTCAAGTGACAAAAATATGAACTGGCTAAAAAAAATTGTAATTTATTTCAAATAAAGTGTTTGTTTGTAATTAAGTACAAAGCTACACAATGGGGTATCTGTGCTCTGCCCATCACGGGCATCGAAACCTGGATTCTAGCGTTGTAAGTCCGCAGACATACCTCTGTGCCACTGGGGTGGGGCAAATAAAGCGCTTAAAAAGCATGGAAGTAATATACATAATATTAAGATAACTTATAAGCATGCTATTTTTCTTTTTTATGACAAATAATTTAGTTTGTTTGTAGTTAAGCACAAAGCTACGCAAAGGGCTATCTGTACTCTGTCCACCAAGGGTATCGAAACCCGGTTTCTAGCGTTTTAAGTCCGCAGACATACCGCTGTGCCACTGGGGGGCAACAAATAATTTAGATATAGAGATAAGCGAATTAAAACATAAAATGTTTTTAGCAAAACTTGCGCACTGGGAGTTAATGATTTGATTTTGAAAAGAACGTATGGTACTTAAAAAACCGTAACGAAAATATTAAATATAAGTAAGCAGTGTAAAATTATGGAATTTTACCTTCTTTTCCTCGCCGAGTGGATGAAAATATAAAATATAAATTATTTATTAAATAAGCAACATTACTCCAGTTTTTTCTTATTTTCAGAACTATCTGAAAAATGTAACAAAACACAAATTATTTCCGAGAGCTGTTATCAACGATACAGCATAGATATACATATCTACCTACACCTTAGAGCCGAGCGCATCTCTGCGGTTAGCGTCTCCGACCATGTGGTTCGAGGTTCGCGTCAAAAAACAACAACAAACAACAACAACAACAAAAAAGAATTGCGCTTCGTACTTTGTGTGCGTTATAAGAGTGGCAGCCAAAGACTACTCTACGAATTTTTGTGGATGGTTTTGACGAGATGCCTTTTTTCCTGTCTAACACTTCAAAATTAGAGACGGCTAGCGCAGACAGACCTCGTGTACCTTTGCGCAAAATTTAACAAACAACAACTTCAGTTATAATGATGTAGATGTTGTTGCTTGTTAATTGAAAAATTAGCAAAAATTAGGAAACAAACAAACAACAACTTCATTTATAATGATGTAGATGTTGTTGCTTGTTAATTGAAAAATTAACAAAAATTAGGAAAACAAACAACAACTTCATTTATAGTGATATAGATGTTGTTGCTTGCTAATTGAAAAATTAGGAAAACAAACGAACAACTTCATTTATAATGATATAGATGTTGTCGCTTGTTAATTGAAAGATTAGCAAAACAAACAAACAAAAACTTACTTGAACCAGCCAGTGGTGAAAAGCATATTAACATTTGTAATTCTATTTCTGGGGTTTTTATATTATTGTTATTCATCATACAGTTATCATGCTCACATTATATATTTTTAATCTGATTTTAAGTAACGTGTAGGGATATTGTGCTAATTACGGGACATTTTTAGTTGAAACTGGATCGACGAATAACTTAACTGAGACCACAATAACAGGAGGCTTCTAGGTAAAGTATGAAAATACGGATAAGTTAAATTTGACGAAAAAAAGTCCAGATATGGGAAAAAGTTGTTTCTCTTCAAAATAAATTATATACTTAATAAAACAAATGAAACAGTGGTAAGCGACATGTGGCTATTTCTATTATGCTAGACGATACTTCTATCTTTCAAACAGTAATTACAAAGCATGGTCGCATTTGATAATTACCAGGACGATTCTTAGATAACTAATTCTGTTGAAAAACTTAACAAGAAATAGCTGAAATATCTTCATTTGGAACTATATTTCAGTTCAAGCTTTTTCTGAATGCCAAGTCATTCACCTCAAATAGGGTCTTCTTTTTCTCTGTTGTTGCAGATGGCAAGCACGCCAGACACCTCGAAGATATTAATAACGATTTATACAATGTACTGGTCGCATTCAGTGGCAAACACACAGTATTATTATTATTGGTCATGAATGACTAACTAAAGGCAGGATTAAGCATACATGATACTTCATAACTGAGTGCATCCTGTTCAGATAGAACGTTTAGCTAATCACGGGAAGCCTGTACTGAAATTACAAGAAAAACCTGAATATACGTGTGTAAATATACATGATTTTTTCTACGGCATGAAAGGGTTACAGTCATAGCATTTGAACATTCTTTTCATTACTATGTTACAAAGTTTCGTAAAACTCAGTTACAAATCAAAGGTAATAATGTAGAGAGTATAGCTGGGAAATGCACAAACAACAGACTTCTTGCTCCAACTTGGCCAAAGTCTCAAAAATTCAGATGGCTAATGAGGAAACATAGCCTAAAATAATTAACTGTCAATCGAAAAGTTGCTTACAAAGTAGTCTCACGACACACACGTTTCTTTTTCTCGTAATGTTACCAATTTTGGAAATCTGGAAGCTAATTTTCTTTCGTAATGTCACCTACTCTGGAAATCTGGGATCTTTATTTCACTCGTAATGTTACAAACTTTGAAAATCTGGAAGCTGCCATTTTCTCGTAATGTCACTTACTTTGAAAATCTGGAACCTGCTATTTCTGTAGAAGATTTTGCTTTCTCGCAAAGATGCTAGGGTATATTTGAAAACATCCCTAGGTGGGAGAGCGGTAAGTCTATCGACTTACAACGTAAAATTCGGAGTTTGATTCCACTCGGTGGACCTAGCAGATAGCTCTATGTGCCTTTGCTTCAAAAAAACAAACAACAACAAACAAACAGATATTTAAACAAACATAATAGACACAATACACAGTATACTTGCGTTCTGGCTGTATAGCATGCAATGACTATGCACAATGTACAGGATGCTGTTCAAGTTTATTAATTGTTATGGCTAATGTATTTTAGAATATTACGCCACTCTGCTAACAGTTGTGATGTATATAATCCCTGTGGACACAAGCACGAGCAGTGGGACGAATATGTGACTTTTACAAAGTGTCACATGACAAAGGCCAATGGAATGTTTTACTCGGCATCATGAAGAAGAAAAAATTCTGTCAGTCTGAAAAACTGCTGTTTGTTCTGAAAATTTTAAACTGAACATTTTGAAGGGGAATACGGGTGCAGAAGTGAAAATACGGTGCTTCCTCCCAAAATATTTGGTTTTGCTAAACCAAAAAAATCAAGAAGAATCGAGCTTCAAAATTGTTCAAGGATTGAAAAAGTTAGTGACGAATTGTGTAGTATATTAGTTTCTGCTATAACTATAAATCTACAGTACTTTCTGTAATATATTAAGTGTACCAACAAAGACGCTAATTAATTATACTAACTAGATGTACTTCCGCAAGCTCCCCGAAAGTGTTCTGTTTCGCAAGTAAATTAAGAGTAACGAATGTTCTTATTTCTTGCAAATTGCAACGTTAAGAGTCCCTTATGTGACGTCATTTTGAGTGTCTACTGACTGACTGGTAGACAACGTACTACTGTAGTGATGCGAGTGCTTCAAACAGGTGACTCCTCCAGGCAGCCTTCGGCCCCCTTTCGGGGAAATTATCAAGTTAACCTAAACTAAGAAAATGATATAGGCGGAAACTTTAAATTCGGTGATGTACAGACTAGAAATGCAGTTACACTGTTACAGCATTATTGTCATGGTTGCTGCAACAGGTGTGTCATCATCACGACTGTTTTAATATGTTTGGATGAAGGCACGACAGGGAAAGACTGAAGGTATCTAATACACAACGGAATTCCAGTTGGTGTAATGGCTCTTGTAATTCATTTGTTTACAATGCAACCTTTCCAGTTCTGTGGGCATCATTTCACATTATATCCAAATAGTACCTTTGGTTCTTGTGATCACACAATTCACGATCTTGCGCTAAGTTCTTATCTTCTTCTTTAGATGAACTTGGAGCGCTTTCTTCCTTATCCGCTGGCCTGAATGCCCACTGTATCTTGAGGTTCAAATTGACACAGTTTCTGTTTTAGAAGAATACGACTGGTGATCTCCTAGCACTTGTTCTACGTGATTTTTAAAGACAAAATTTGTATGCTGTTAAATTACTTAGAAAGCTTTGTTTGTTTGTTTGTTTTTGAATTTCACGCAAAGCTACACGAGGGCTATCTGCGCTAGCCGTCCCTAATTTAGCAGTGTAAGACTAGAGGGAAGGCAGCTAGTCATCACCACCCACCGCCAACTCTTGGGCTACTCTTTTACCAACGAATAGTGGGATTGACCGTCACATTATAACGCCCCCACGGCTAAAAGGGC